AGGTTCATAAGGAATATTCCTATAGTGTTGACAATTGTTCTCCGTGTCTTCAATCCATCCAGCATTGTTGTTATGGGTAGCTGGCGTCGAAAGTTGATTTCCCCAAAACTCATGAATTTCTTCATGGCTTGGGTAGGATTTATTTACATTTTCTACAGTGGAATTTAGTTTTCTATAGAAAGCCTTCTCTGAATTCTCAAAAAGTATATTGTCGCATTTACGGTTGTTACTAACTTTGTATCTCCTTAAGCGACCTGAATAAACGGAGAGTTTTTGTTTTAATGTGTCTAGGCAGTGTTGAGCTGTGTTGTTTTCTGGATCATGTTGTGAGTGTCTTGAAGTGTTCAGAATAATTTCTTCAGCTCTTTTAATTAGTTTTTGACTTCTTACTCCTCGGATGTATTCCGTAATTTGCCCAATATCCCTGCGCAATAATTCAATTTTCCTCAGCAGTCTTTTTTCCCAGGGTGCAATTCTGTTTTCAGTCCTTCCGATATTAGTTCCCCGTCGTGTTCTGATCTTAATGCCCATAACATTAGCAATTGCTGTTGCTGCACAGTAAATCAGCATATGCAAATATTCTAATGTATGTGCTTCCACGATATAATTGGGTAGGACTTCAGTGTTCATAATTTGTAACAGCGCACCTAGTTTCTTACAAGAGTTTATTTTTGGTAGCGGTGGTCGGCTAAGTGGGTTTGTACCATTAAACTCTTGTATGGCCCGTTCCATTTCTCTTACCAGTCTATTGTGCAACTCGTTGTTGTCCTGCTGGGTATTAACAGGTTGAGTGTCTTGTATAAGGGGCTCAGGAATCTGCTCATTTGGGATTTCATTATGGTCTTGATCCACAACTAGCTCTTGGTTATGAATCTCCCGTTCGACTTCGCTTCTAATGGTAGCGCGTCTAGCCTCTGGGATAAGATTATTTCTTATAATTACCCGGTATTGATCTGCTATTCGCTGTTCAGATACTTCAATCTCTGGATACTCCCTGCAAAATTCGGCATACAGTTGTTGTCTATAGCCGATCGTTTCTCGACCGAGGTTCGTCACCTTGTAATAGAAGCGCAAAATGTTTTCATTTATAGACATAGTCCATTTCATGCGCTGCCTCGGTCGTCCCGCTTGTGTGAGCGCCGGCTGATGTTCCAGCGCAGCACCTTCAGCGAGTGGAGCTCTTGTTGTTGTTTGGCTCACTTGTGGTTGTTGTTGTTGTTGGGCTGTAGCTGATTGTATGACAGGGGCCCGCCTCCTCAACACCCTGCCACCGACGTCCCGCATGCTGTCACGTCCAGCGCCGGCTCCAGACGTGCCCTGGCGATCCCCAGGCAGCGACCCTAAACATAAATAATTATTAGTCTCCATTTTCATGGGTGTGCATTTTATACCTACTGCCAGGTGTCAGTTTTTGTTCCACGACAGGTATTCCTGTTACCCTCTGGGTATCGGTTCTAAGAATACCCAGAGAGCATCCCCCATTCGCAGGGGGCCGCGCCTGATAGAAGAACTGATAAAAAACTCCCACAGGTTATTATTATTATTATTATTATTATTATTATATAATGATATCGAGCCAAAGCAGAGCTTATGTGTCCCAAATTACAAAATATTTGTATGTACTAAACTGAATAATATAATATAAATCTAATTTTCTCACAAAGTAAAAATAAAAATAATTTTCAAAAGAATTAGTACTTACAAAAAGTTTTGGCAATAGCAAATTACAAAAATACAAATTTTACCAAGTATACATAAGTTTTCAAAAGAAAAAAAATACAACCAATATAATTAACATAAGACTAGGTACAATATTTTGTTCGTTTTCATCAAACTTGTTTTTGTAGCTTCTACTATGTCATCACTTAAACCGTTTAATTTAACAAAAACTCGGTTAACTCATATAGTTAATTAAAAGGTCAATTTATAGTTATAACCTCTTAGTCTACCACCCCCCTCCAAAAATCCCCACTAAGAATTATATAAGTAGATATGACATCATATCTTTCTCGTCTAAGAGTTAATGGAGACAACTTGAGCTTTCTTATTCGGGTTTCATAGTCTAATCTTCCATAATTAAAAGGTAGCTAGGTCCCTCTTAGTTGTACTCCTAAAAAATTATTGTCTTTTTGCAAATGAGGTGACCAAACTGACACTGCAAATTCTAGGTGAGGTCTGACATAACTTTTGTAGAATTTCAAAAACAAGTCTGGAGATAATCTATGAAAAGCTTTTGTGACAAATAATAAAGCAGAGTTCGCTTTACTAACTACTTTTGGTGTTTTGAGTAGACTAACTTCATGTTTGGTTGACCGTAACACTGAAATTATTAACTTCCCGTACCGATTTCAGAGGAACTTCATTATATGTATATGGGAATTAGAAGATGTAAATGACAAAAAGTCAGAAAACTTAGCATGTAAAGAAGCAATATTAGTCTAAAAAATATTTATTGTTGACGACTATATTTGTTTTTCCAGTTCCTCTCGCACTTAATTCAAATAGTTTATTTGATATTTAGTTAAGTCATCCTTCAATTGAATTCTAGAAAATTTGGTTCCTAACAACCTCATATTATTGCGCAACATAAATAATGGACTAGCATTATCTGCAAATTTAACCGTTAATGGCCGTTATGCAAGGAACACTATTGTTTATAAATACTAAAATAATTTACTAAAAACGCCTAAATAGGTTTTTAAAACTAAATAAGTTTTTTATAGATATAATACTTATAGAGTGTAAATTTTATGATATCATACTTTCAAAATAAAAGTTGCAGTATCTACTATTCTGTAACTCTGTAAGTTTCAGCATGACCAGTTCAAAATTCAAACCGATAACATTCCTAATACTAAGTTTTGTTATATTCTGCCAAATTGTTGTACAAAGTAATTGATATGGCAACCCTGTTACTATGTCGTTTCGTTTGAAGCGTTTCGAAGCCGAACGTAATGCTATCTATCGATGATAAATACTACCACTGTTTCAGATGGAGCCATCTCCCTATATTACACATTTGAAGGCGGCGGTTCAAGACATAATTCTTGTTTAACGAGATTTTTCATATGTTTAGGAAAAAATATTTAACGTTTTATTGCAAATATTTTCCACTTTTACAGTTTTATATATGTTGTTATTAAAAAAATTTTTGGTTTCTTACCGGAAGCTTTATTATAAGCAGAAACATACTATTTTTTCCTATTGGGACAAAACTGTAAATTCAAAATTTTTCAAAAAATTCCTAAGTATTTCTTATAATTATATCTTGATGCTGTAAAAAAAATTAACAAAATTATATGTCTGGTTTTCCCGCTTTATACTTGGAAAAAAGTAGTTTTTTTGAGTTTTTTTAAAAACGAAAACATGAAGTTTGCTTAAAAGTTGTCAAAATACTTCTAGTCATCACATACACCTTCCCAAATTTTTTCAAATTTTTTGAATTTGGAATTTATTTTTTGGGGGGTGCAGATCAACCTTAATTTAAGTATTTCGGACATGGATATTGTCCGGGCCGGTGGCTTTTCCGCTCTTCTGAGCTTTTATATATAGTCCCAAGATTCCTAAGAGGAACATAGGGCTTCCACAAAGTGTCTCCAGCGAACTCTATTTCTGGCTAGTGCTTTGATTTCAAGCCAGGATTTTCCGATTTTTCTCCCTTCGTCCAGTACTGTCCTTCTCCAAGTTCCCTTAGGTCTGCCTACTTTCCGTCGGCCTTGGAGATTCCAATCCAGCGCTGTCCTGGCAATGTCATTTGGCGGTCTACGGAGTGTGTGGTCCAGCCATCTCCATTTTCTTCGCCTTATTTGCTTTATGACATTTTCTTGGTTGCTTTGGTTCCATAAATTTTCATTGGAGATTCGGTTAGGCCAAAATATACGAAGGATTTTTTCGTAAATTCTGAGCTTTTACTGCATAAATATACTCTTTTTTTGGACCTTTTTCATTTACTCCACAATCCGTGGATGTTGGAGAATAAGGTCTATCATCGTCGAAAAGTATCTGAATGTATTCTTTTCATATCTCCGGTTTATCTTCCGTAACTATCATTATCTCGTTATTATGATTTCTTGTCTCTTTCTGTGTCTACCTCTCGTTTCTTTCACTTTTTTATAGGTGTTGAATTCTGGTATTTGATTGAGATCCAGTTTTCTTTAGCTTCCCTGCACTTTTTTCTAATGATTTTATTGACTCGTTTGTATTCTATTGGGTTTCTTTGAAGATGTTTTTGGAAAAAGGTGTTTTGAAAAGGTCTCTTGGACAGATTGTAGATATGTTGTTTCCTAAGTCTTATTTTGTTAATAATTCTTACGACATATTACTGTCAATTGTGTATTTTATTACTTTTCCTTGCGTAAAATGGATACGTCTATTTTTGCGTATTTAAAGAAGAAAGAAATAGATAACAAATTGAAGATTCGTGATACAAATTACTTACTTATATTGTTCGTTATACTTATATTGTCGTTAAATAATATCGTTTCTGCCCGGTTTCATTACCAATGTTGTTGACTTTAAAGAATGGTATTGTTGTAATGATTTTTCTGTCTTGTACTTTTAATCTTTGTCATCATATTATATTGTAGTACATGTTTTTTAGATAAGTTAATATATTTTAACGGTTTTGAGTCTTTATAAATCTGTGGTTGAGAATTATTAGCGACCAATTTTGCAGTTCTGTAACATTCACCATTTCTTGGAGAAATTGTTATCTATCTAATATTCATATCCTTACCCACACCAATGAGGCTCCCGACAATGAGCAACGAGTCATTCATAATGTTACTGTGTACGATCGCCTTCATTACCTCTTAAAATTGTTAACGTTAATAATAGTTAACAAGTACATGTTCCTCTAGTTTCTTTAAAGCAAAAACATTTAGTTTCATAATTGGTTCGTGCGTAATTTTGAATACTGAATCTAAATCGGTCATCAACGAATATTGGAGGGATTGGGATTGATGACGTAAAGGAAGAACATATAAGGAAAAAAAATCACCTGATTTTTGACTCATTTTATTGATGCAAAATGTGTTGTTAATACACAGCAGATAAACATATTGGTGTAATTTGAAAATAACATGAGCAAATGATCAAAACGCCATAAAATCTACAAAAAAATCAGGACGTGTATTTACATTGTTACACTTAAATATTACAAAAGAAAAGAACAACCTGTAAGTATTTTACAGTGCTACAAACTACCAAGAAACAAAATAAAAAATAATAAATAAAATATATAAATACATAATTGTCACAGAAATATTTAGTTAACCCATGGCAAATAATATTCGACAGGTAGAAGGTCATTACAGTTTCGTCATAGAACGAAAATATATATATGGTTAGGGCACAGCTTGAAGGCAAATCGGTGAAATGATGATAATAATGTATTTTTTGTAAATCAAAGATCCTATAAAAACAATATCTAGGGATTTGAGAAGTTTTATAATACTGTTTAATGTACGAGAAGTATACCCTTATCTCGTCTGTTGATCTTTACGACTTTTTTTTTAATATTTCGTTGGTGATGCACCATAAATTATTATAAAGCGAACTCTATATTTGTCTATGTTTCCAGATTTACAATAAAAGGTGTCATTTAACGCAAGGTATGTGTTTTGCTAGATAGCAACTCCAGAGATAATAAAAAACCATAAGGTCACCAAGGCAGTTATTTTAAAAACAATCTTAAACTCAATGATATAAGCAAATAGTTAAAATGTCACTTTTAAGTTGTTCAGATATCTTCTTTCGATTTTTGATAGTTAATGTACCACTATTTTAAATGAGCGAGAACTTCAAAAAGAGAAAGGTGATAGTGGACATTCTCAAAAGCAACATTTTATGTCTCTTTTACAAAAGTTGCCTTTTAAAAGAATTATCTTATTCTGAAATAGGTAACTAAGCAATAAGTTCATGACCCGTGCTTTTTTTATTAACTCGAGAACCTCTCACTTTCAAAGTTGGAAGTTTACCGAAAATTATCAACAACGGAACAACCAATTCCGGAAAAAGGCTTTAGATATTACAACAGAACCTTTGGAACCACTGTACACTTTAAGGCTTCTGTTTTTGGTAGTACTTCTTGAGCTCGTAACCGCAAAACACTGTTCCAATCGATCCTTTGAACAAAAATAATTCCACTCTTCTAAAATTATCCAGGTTTGTTAGTTAAAATGTGTATTTAGGATATGCGTGCCTAAAGTAAAATATCCGTGACCTAGAAAACTTGATGTACTTCTAATAAATCTTGTCACAGTTATGTATTTAGGTAAACCAGAAATTTTCAGGTTTCATTAATACTGGTCCTCGAATAGCTTCTTAGTTTCTGGTAAAATAATACAAGAGTATAAATAGTGTACATAAAAGAAGTAGAGATATTAGCCACTTATCTATAGACTCGCAAAAGCCCTTCCACAGAAAGGCGGACATTATAGTAAAATATAATTTCATATATATGTATATTACCATCATTTCACCGAAGTTGCTTCTTATCTTATTGATGCCCCCTAGCAAAGTACCTACCGATAACAAATCTTATCGTGTGCGCAAATAGGGAGAGTAACATCAATGTATGAAAAATTAGAAAAGTTGTCACAAATCTTCCAGGTTATATGTACTAAAAGTCAATCACACTCACAGTCTTCTAGCAGCGAACTTAGTGTGATGGTTCACAGAACCAAGCAGTCTTTCAAGGTCTCATCCGAGGTGGGGTAGCAGACCACCCACTATTTTAATATTATTTCATGACTACACCGGGAAAAGATATGCAACACAAAAATTAACAATAACGAAAACTAAATAATGTTCTTATTCTGTAAACGGTAGCGCAAATATTAAAGTTTTAACCACTGTAAGGTTTTCTGCAGAGGTGTAATATCATTTACTTTTATATGATCTTAAAGACTTATTATTAGGCAACAACAATTTCGTACTGGATAAAGTGCTTTGAGGAAAACACTGTAAATCATCATTTAGAGTACCTCTATGTCTTTTCTCAGACTGAAATTAATATCCTGCACATCTCCTGTTTTAATAGTAAAACATACATGCTGAATGTTAAAATTATTAAGAAATTAGGAACTTTATGAGCAGACATAAGGGATTTTGTCGCTTTATTCTGTTGTACTAAAAAGAAAAACAAAAAAAAATGGATGGTTTAATCACCCATGTATTATTTAGCTCTTCTATTAGGCAGTCGTTAAAAGAACAAATAATTCAAATTATTCCAAAAATAGTTTACCTAAAATAATATCCAGAAACATCCAAGAATAATCGCAAAAATCAAGAAAAGGAAAGCTTCTTGCCTTGAAATACTCTACTCTACTACTCCTACAAAACAATAAAGTATGGTCATTTTCAACCATAAAATGGTTCATAGTTTGATCGAATATTACAATTAATGTTAAATTAAACGAAAAATTCTGGAAAATAGGCCAATGAATGCCTTCAAACCATCCTCGAATGAACGAAGAATTAATCATAATATAACAGTGAAAAATATTGATTATACACAAAAATCTTTAGACCAACAAAGCAGGTTTAAATATCACAAGAAATAGATTTGTTGGTCATAATTTATAAAGTGAAAAATGTTGGTTATTCTTGACTTTTGTCAATATTTACCACTACGATATTGAAAACATTTTTTTTATTCTAAAAAGATCAAAAAAAATATCTCATAATAGTTTAGATTTATGCATTTTAGCGATATGTGAATATTGCTCTGTACAATTCTTGTCAAACTCCAAAAATTCCTTAATTTCCAAGAGGAGATAGTGGAAATTCTCTTCAAAATACGACATAATATACAAAGCCCAAAGGGCAAAATGACTTGTGGTATGTGCCTATTCCTCATAGTGCCCAAAGTCTTAAAAATACTTAAGATGGCTGGATATCCGGTGGAAAATTACGCAACGTCTATTAATATCTAAAATACATTTGCTAAAAATGCTTGGCCCACTAGGCGAAATCGTCATAAAAACCAGAAGATACTAAAGTGATACAACAAAAAGATGGTAAACAGGAGAAATAAGGAAAAGGCCAATGAAAACGAAAACAAACCCATAACGGGGTTACTATTTTAAAAATATTTTAAATACTTACATTAAAGCAGTGCAAGAGAAAAATAATATATGGAAATAAAATGGGAAGAAAGAGTTGACACAAAAATGAAGTGAACATGTTAACTCAAAGTCTTAGAGTTACAATAAGGACAGAAGAATTATAAATAGAAAACAAATTGTTTTTACATAAAAACAAAGTGGAATAACTACGAAATATAGAATGTGGCAGAAAACACGATAAAAACGAATCAAATAGAAAAAAATATTAAACTTGATAAACAGAAACAACAGGATATAAAATTTCTAAAGATAATTACAGTATTTAAAATACCAGTATGACTAAATCACCCAATAAACCTTCAAAACACTTTATTTCATCCTTAAAATCTTTCATACAATACTTAAGTAACTTATTTAAGTACTTTTTCACTTTAATAATTTCAAAAATTACATCTAGACCTTTTCGTCAAAAAGTAACTGCCTAAATTTCCTCCGCCTTAAAAATATATAAGCGCAGTATCACCCTCTATTAGGAATAATCCAAGAAAACCTCACAGTGCATTAAACCTAAGAGTTCGTTCTACCGAGAATAGACGATAGCGCACAAACTTCAAGACATGCGATGTTGGGCTCTACGTGGCGGTACCGTTCACCAACGTTTCCTTGGGTTTGGGATCGTTCCTGCGCGTCTGGGGAGGTCTGTTGGAGCGGTTCTTGGTGTCACGAGGCTTCGATATGTTGTCGTGATGGCCGTTGTCGTTATGTGAAGCATCGTTGATTCCTGCAGCGCCGTGGTGGTTGTTTACTGCAACAAAGACTACTTTAAATAAGATGGGGTGAGATTTTAAGTTATATGTTTAAGGGGTAGTCGTATTTACTGTACAATCATTTTCTTGCAATATTACTGCGCCGCAAATTTAAAGATTTCTTTAACTTCAAAAAGATTATTTAGTAAAAAAATAAGGGGCTATTATGTTTCGGAGCATTCTTTTAGCTTTTCTAAACGGATTTAAAAATTAGTTCTTTATATCCCTCCTTTCATTTAAAAAGTTATGACTGATTCCAAAAGACTTGAAAGCCTGTGGCAATGAAACTGGCGACGATGAATTACATTGTCCACAATTATAGTATATTTTTTGTATAAAATGAATCAATAAAACCGTAATTTAAACATTTTGTCTCGGATTGAACGAAAGGGAATCATTTGAATTGCGAACTGAACACAATTTTCCATTATTTTTCTGAGTCAGATCTATTCTGAGTCGATAATGTGCCAATAAAATTTATTTTATAGTTACAGTTTATTCTCAATGACATAAATGATAATAATTGTACAGTATATAATAGTTTGGTTAGAAAAAGCAGCAAAATATGGAAATATTTTCCACTGGAAACTACAACAGGGAAAACTACATGAATGGTGTTACATAGTAAGTAAATGGTAAAGTTAAAATTGACCTAGCCTGTGATATAAATACAAAATAGGTGTCGTCTTCAAACCATAAAGAAAACCATTAAAATGATTTTTAATTAATTTGTACAGTGAGAATTCATCGTTAGGTTTAACATTATGCTCTCTTTATGGTTTCCAGACCCACTATCAGTAAACTATATGGTTATCGATGAGTAATATCTTTAAAGGACACTCCAAAATTGTGGTTAATGATATATTCTTTCAATATATGATTGAAACGTTTGGTACATATGTAGTACAAATAATTATTAAAATGGAACTTTTTCTTTTGTAAAATGACCTCAATTAAAGGCTTCCATGGGGGTTTTTCCAATCTATTAGTCCAAAAATGTTTCCAAGATAGTCTAAATTGATCAGAATTCTGTAATGTAATCAATTTCAGCATTATATTCACTGAGTTTCAATATGCCACTTCCTACACTGTTCCTACAAAACCGTGAGACGTTGTCTTAGTGGAGGTGACCTCGATGCTTGATTGTGGTCACAATTTCTGTAAGGTGAATAAGATAAAATTAAAGCTAAGGACGATTTAACTCCGTGTATCAAATGATATCCAGGTTGCATTCATCTTCGCTCATCATATGGTGCTTTGTGTGAAGTGACCATTAACTCTCTAGTTATAGGTAGGACAAGAATAGACAGAAATAAATATTGACGAAGAGGAACTACTGAACAAACTGAGATACCAAACGTGCAGCAACGCAGATGTAGAGTTTACACAAAAAATTCCTCAGATCGCAGTGTGGGAAGGCCTGAGTTTAAGCAACCCTTTTATCTATCTATAATCTACTCACTGATTTACAATACGCCACTGAGATATACTCGTACATTTCTCGTTCGTTCGTTTTTGCCCAAAGGAAGTACATTTTCTGCTAGGTCTTCCTGTCCATTTCTATCCCATCAAATTTCGTTTACAATTATTCTTGTTACTTTTGCTTCCTGTGAAATCCAAGGGCTATTGTATATACTCCCCATAAGAAGTTTATCATAACCACAAATAGAACTTTCACCTGGAACGTGCAAGAAAATATGAACATAAGCCTACTTTCTTCATTTTGCCAATTTCAACTGTTTTAGGCGATTATGGTCTTCTTCCTTACAGGTAACAATATATTATTAGTCAATTTTTCATTCCAAAACTTTTTCTGTTCTTTTTTCTAATATCCATCTGATGGGCAATATTTCACTCCCAGATAAACACAAGTGTCCGTGATATAAAAAATTATCTTTTTTTGTTCTTAACGATATATATTATATTTTCTGGGTCTGATGCATAGATGGCGTCATTTACCGTTTAGAATATACCAGCTTTCAAACACCACTTGCGAAAATTTGAATTCAATCTGGCGATTTGTTTACAGGTAAAAATGGTTTAAGTGACCCAATGTTTGTAGTTTTAAAAACAACACAACCAAAATCTAAATTTCCTGTGTTGATCAATCATAGCACAAGTCAATTTGTTCATTGATTACGTTGGGACAAAAAAACCCATTAATAATAAATATTATACCGCATTATCGATGCGATTAAGAAACAAATTAAGAAAAACAGCCCAAATGAAGAAGAAAATAGTCTCATTTCATCAAGGCAGTGGAAAAACCTTGGCATTTCTTTTGCTTCACTCATCTGTCGTGTCCTTTATTTGGTATGACTATCCCAATGAAGATCTTCATGTGAATCTTTTGCTTGCTACAATGCCAATCTCATTATTTGCAGTTAATTTTGCTTACCTAACAGTAAATGGCGTTTGCTATAATTGCGTTTCAATCATATTTCGATTTAACCCACACTTACTCTCGTTACCTGGTTCGCGGGTCATCGATTGGGAGGGGGTACGGCTATGCTGTCTTCCACGACGCCTGCGCCTGCGCTGGGATCCACCATCAGCAGGTAACGATACATCTGCGCTAGATACTGACTCTATGCAGAGCCATTGACAAAATTCTTATTTATAAACTTGTACTCTTTGTCGATTGAATAAAGAAAGCTCTATAGTATATGTATATATATATATATATATATATATATATATATATATATATATATATATATACCATTAATAAAAATGCCTACAAAATTATACTCAATGTTATGCCGCCAATCATATATTTTAATCTATTTAGAATAGGTCTTCTCAAAAAAACAGACGTTTACTAAAAATTTTCGTAAAATTTAAATAGTTTTGATTATTGTAGATCATTAGCAAAGTAAAGAATAGTGATTATATGATATGTATGTATAGAAATAAATATTAAAATCAGTTAGTCAGAAGTATTACATGAGCGCACAGTCGGGTAACATAGCATAAAGACCAACGTGATGTACATCTGTTAATAAACCTTGAAAGAAAAACAAATGATTAAATCGGTTTATGAGGGATTACGTAGAGGAAATCAAGATATGTTTATAGAGGACGTCGCGCCACTATGGTGATTTAACGAAATTATCGGCTCGTATGGTTTTCCAAATAATTCAAGGTAATAAACCACTTCAAAAACCTATTCATAAAAGACGTACAAAAATTGTATTGGACGATACTACGAAAAGCATAATCCGAAGAAACGTTAATCCGAAATGCCCACGTTAAAGTCTATTGAACGAGAAATTAATGCAGACGCAGATGATACTTTAAACAGAATATCCATGCGGGTATTACAAAGAACATTACGTGAAATGCATTTTCAAAATGTAAACAGAAGTCGGAAAAGTTTGTTATTCGAGAGAGACGAACTAGTGATATAGCGAAGAGAATATTTACAAAAAATTCGTGATTTTGGACGTCTTGGGAAAAAATTAATTATATGGACGAGACGTGGTTAAATGAGGGTCATACGAAATCCAAAGTATGGCAAGACTTAAATATTAAAAGTTCGCGACAGGCTTTTAATGAGGGTCTTTCAACCAGCTTAAAAGCACCTTCGTTCAAAGGAAGACGCCTCATTATTAAACGCATAGGAAGTGATCAGGTTTCTTACAAGGTGATTTAAATGTCTTTATCTCTATTGAAAAGGGGGATTATCATGAGGATATAAATTCGGATGTGTTTGAAAAGTGGTTTTTCTATATACTGACTCTTCTAGAACCTGGATCGGTAATTATAATGGATAATGCACCTTATCACAGCCGTCAGTAGCGCAAAAAACATAACCTTTAAACATAACATAACACGCGTAGGCACGCGTGTTGATTTTCTTATCGAGCCCATTATTATTACTCCAGGAGAAGACAGTAGTAATGGTGAATTAAAAATCTGGAAGTGAATCAGCATAAACAGATATTTTAAATAACTAATATAGTTCTAGTGAATGCGTTTTTTGTTGCTGTTGTTGTTTTGCCATTCGGAAAGTACCTGTGAGATCCTTCGTCCTACGAGGTTATAATATTATTAGTAACTACCTAATAATTATTATGGCAAATTTGTTTCTCAAAATTAAGGTTTACATTAGGCTGCCGGGTTTCTTATTATTATTATTTTCTGTAAAACACTTGGTATTTATATTTTGATATGAATTTTATTTGAAAAATATCAATAGGCACATAAGATCATTATTCCAATATTAATACGTTTAAAGAAGTCTAATGTAAAGGGTGCCTTTCTAATTAGTACTTACAACGATTTTCCTTAAAAATGTACACGCCGCCATTGAACTACACTCGTCTCTCGTTTCGTACCCCTCCAGAGTCGATCATTTTAAAGCGATACCCTGACAATCCTATTGAATTTGGACTATAGATAAAAACACTCCTAAGACTATCACTTTTTTGTTTTTGACGAGTTTTGTTTTTGTTTAGCATACATTGCTTAAATTTTGAATGTTTCTTTAAATTCTTCATTTATAGAATTGTTAGGTAAATTAACCAAGGGGAATCAATGAAAACGTCAGTATGTAAATGGTAAAATAATTATAAACAGAAGTATAGATTAAATGGTTAAAATAAAAATAAACTTTTGATTAACTTATGACATAAATAACAGCACTTTATCGAATATTCATTGTATATTGTAAATAAATAAATATACTTTGACAAATAGTTAAACCCGTACGGCATAGCTGCATTAACTCTTATAACTAGCAAGTAAAAATATTGTCTTACCTCTATCAACACTGGAAACCTCTTGGCTATCTAGGACAGTATCCTCGTCATCTGTTGTGCGCCTTCTGTCGTCACGCCGCAGATCTCGGCGCCCACCTCTACCTCTAGGTCCTCCGTAATAACGTGGCGGTAAGTCGTGAACGCGTTCGTCTGTTGTATCTGGCGTTTGATGTCTCGAACCTAAGAAATTTAATTATAGATCTCATTGTAAAAGCCTGTTATATGCTAAGAAATATGAACTAAAAAGCCGTAGGATTATTGTGGTATGGACAATAGTATAGTTGATTCGAATACATAGTTTTCTTTTTTTTTGCGTCGACACGCCATTTTGATAGGGATCAATGAAATGAGTAACACCGAGACGAAGTCCTTCTTTCTTACCGTCCTACCAATCCATAGGTATTTTGTTATTTAAGTCGCAGATCCATTTTCGATTTATACTACTACGTTAAGTATGTTGTTTTTCTGGGCCGCACCAGAATTCGATGCCTAAACCGACTAGACTACTCACATTAAAGAGGGTGCGCTAGCCCGCTTGGATAGTACATCAAAAACTGAAAGGTAAACTCTGATAAAACTTAAAAATAAACGACGTACTGAGGTTATATAATTTGTTCTTGGTATAATTTTGTATGGATTATTGTCAGTCTGGAACTAATATCACCAAAAAATAGTACTTTAAACTTAGTACTATTGTTAGGCCACTAGCGACATTCGCTGCAAATTGCTTTGGATAAAGCGGGCAGATACACGTAAACAAAGCCCAAAAAGTCTGATTTTCTTGCATATTTCAAGTATTTCCTACAGCTGCCTAAAAATTGATATCGTACTTAGGCATTTAAACATAAAATCTGATTTACATCTTATTATGTACGTTTGTATTTTGACAACGATTTCCGAAGTGGAAATTGAAACGTGAATAAACTTAATTTACCCTTTAATTGTGGCTTATTCCCATTTAAATGGTAATTATGTATGTTGATATAGATATATATTTAGCGTTTCTATAACATTTGCGTCATTTATTTTGTACCTATACATGGTTTTCGCATTTACAAATCGTTAGTTACTATAGTATCTTAATACCAGTTCTCCAATCGATGTGTTTAATTGCACTCTTGTCTAATTGACATTGACATTTATTTCAGATATATTATTCTTTTGTCTTAGGTTAATTTTGTGATTTTGTAAGTGCAAGATTTTTCGAATTGGTCACTGTTTGAAAATTCTTTTTTGTACAATAAGATAGCTAATGCTTTAGACGCATGTTGAGGATTTCCTGCAATTGGTAGAGAGTGCGAACTAGTCGTAACCATAAAACGTCGCAAACTGGAATACCTGGACCATATAATGCGCAATGAACGATATGACCTACTTCGGACCATACTTCAAGGTAAAGTGCATGCGAAAAGAGGTCCAGGACGAAGAAGAATATCCTGGCTGCATAACCTGCGAAAATGGTTTAACTTAACCACTACCGGACTTTTCAGGCCAGCAGTCAACAAAGTCAGAATAGCCATGTTAATGTCCAACATCCGTAATGGATATGCACCATAAGAAGAAAGATAGCTAAAACCGCCAAGGTCATCTGTAAAGTAATTCGAATAGGGGGAAGCTTAATACGATGCTGTTCTTAAACAGTATTATTACCAAAAATTTTCTAGATTATGAAAAAGCATTTGATCGAGTTAAACACAACGAAACTCTTTCAAGACAGAGTTACCGACGAAATTTGGCGCAATGTAAAACACGGTTGTGTTCTGTCACCGCTGATATCCAACCTTTATTTAGTGAACATCTTCCGTGAGGCCCTACACGGTACGATAGGAGTAAAATTATGGGAAGACACGCTGATGATGACTTGCAAATACTGTTGGATAGAGTACATAAGGCAATTCGCAGATGGGGTATTAATATAAACACAAAAAAAAAAACAAAATTGATCCCTGTAAGTAAACTAAATATTCAACCGATCCCGGATAACAATCAACGATTGTGAGACATAAAAGGTTAAAACTGATACCATGAATAAAAGCCATTGAAATGTGGTGTTACCGACGAATTCTCAAAAATTACTAGAATAACCGTACGAGTAATGAGGAAGTCCTCGTACAGCTAAAGAAAGAAAGAGACTTCCTGAAAATTGGCAAAATCAGAAGGTTAGCTACTTCAGTCATATAATTAGTTAATAAATATTACCACCCTCATTCAAGATAAAGTTGAGGGCAAAAGATAGCCAGACTGTAAGAATCTCTCATGGTTACGAAACATATGATATTGAACCGGACAAGGAGCAGCTGTTATGTGCAGCAATGAAAAGAACCAATTCAATGAAATTGTCATGGAGATAGTTCACGCCTGAAAACAAGCATGGCACTGAAAGAAGAACAGCTCACGGAAGAAACCTGTAAACTACTAATTGATTTGCCAACACAGCGTAAGCAACCATTTTTAAGTTGGGGGAAATTTCGGTTCCATTTTACCCTAATATATTTTTCCCAGCTATGTTCTAGCATTTCTAATGCTTCTCGCAAGATATATTCTTTGAGCTATGCAAACCACTGATCTAACGTACATGGCATGATTATCTAAAAAAAAAACGTATCACGCGTATCTTTTGTTTTGGAATAAGGTCTATAATGTCAAATTTGGAGAATATGGCGAATTCTCAACTAATTGGAAGCCTACTTGAGCGATTGCAGCTGTTTAAATAGTAGACGTGAGCCTTGGTGCATTGTCATGATGGAACAGAATATCTTAACGCAACTTACCCCTATAATTTCCTGTGGTGTCACGTAATTTTTTAATTAAATATGGACCGTAATAAGCACCTGCAATTGTGACTCACTGGTATAGAAAATTTAGTAAAATTAGTCTTTAGAACCTCAATATATGGATGGCATGACCTTGCTTGCTGCAGGTTGTATCTTAAATTTTTCGGCAGTAGTGAACCTCGTTGTGCCACTGCTTACTTTCTATTTTTATTTCTCTCTTGTTGCGCCATTATGAGGATCGTGAAGGTCTCAAATACTCCTTACAAATTTTCTCCATCGTTTTCTATCTTCAGCTGCTCTAAGAATTTCGCAGAATAAGTGGCCAGCTGAATTTGGTCTTCTCCCCGTAACGATTCCAAAACAATTAATCTCTCAAATTATCGTCACTCGCGAACCACGTGACCAAAGAACTGTAAAATTATCTACAGACATATGGATGGCGCTTTTTTTAATGTTAAGTTGCTTAAAATGGAAACGTTTGTCCAATGAGCTGTACAAGGTATGCGAAGATTTCTTCTCTAACACCACATCTCAAAGGCAGCAATTTTTGGTTTTTTTGTGCGCGAAGGCTCCCAGTTTCTGCACCGTATAGAAAATATTGAGAATACAAGTGCATTCACATCTCATCTTGATTTTTGAGAGATAGATCTGTCTTTCCAAACTTTAGTTACGCGGCTCATCACATTTTTTGCCATACCAATGCGCCTCCGAACTTCGGATTCGCAGTTGTCATCGTTAATTATACTAAATCCGCGATAGTTAAGATGTATACTATCTGGTATTCCTTCAAATGGTTACTCATCTGAATAATGTCGAATATGTCTATCGCTGTCTATTTTAGTCTTATCTTTATTAATTATATAAGACCAGCTTTATTGCATTCCAACTGAACTCCAACCAACTTCCAACTACAGTCACTCTTCTTCTTCTTCAGTGCCTTATCCGGTCCGGATGTTGGCGATCATCAAGGCTATCATGGTTTTGTTTTGTTGATTGTTATCATTTTCAACCACGAGATACGACGGCGTCCCGGTCCTCTTCTGCCAAATACTTTACCCTGCATAACGAGTTGAAGAATTCGATATTTTTCTTCGTTCCGCATCACGTGGCCGAGGTACTGAAGCTTACGTTGTTTAATTAAATTAAGCACTTCTTTTTCTTTTGTCATGCACTGTAGAACCTCAACGTTGGTGACATGGTCCACATAAGATATTTTTAGTATCCTTCTGTATATCCACATCTCGAAGGCTTCGATTATTTTTTCAGTGGCTTGCGTCAGTGTCCAGGCTTCAACTCCATATAATAACACTGGCAGAACGTAGCACCTCACTATCCGCATCTTGGTTCCCAAACTGAGATCACTGCAGCACAGCAAGGATCTCAACTTAATAAATGTAGACAGTGCCATTTCAATTCTGGATTTAATCTCTTGAGCGTAGTCCCATTGTGAGTTGAGGGTAGTTCCGAGGTAAGTGAATCTGTCGACTCTCTGGATCTCTTCGCTACCTGCCATTAGTGCCCGGGATCTAAATTTGTACGGCTGACAACCATGAATTTAGTTTTCTTAATATTAAGGTTCAGTCCGTATGTTACGCTCACAGTTCACACTCGGTCTAGTAAGGCCTGCAGATCGTTTAGGCTGGTTGCTAGTAACACAGTGTCATCGGCGTAGCGGATATTATTGATGTATTCACCGTTCACTCGGATTCCCATCTCAAGGTTTGTGAGGGCTTCAGTAAAAATCTCCTCAGAGTATATATTGAAAAGAGTCGGCGATAGCACACATCCTTGCCTTACTCCTCGCATGATCTTCACTTGGTCGGTCAGTGGTCTTCGACCTTGACTTGAGCACGCTGGTTCCAGTATAAATTCATGATGATCCGAATGTCCTTCTCATCCAATCCTACTCTTGAAGGGCATGACCATCTTCTGGTGCTGACAACGGTCAATGCCTTGGCGTAGTCAATAAACAAATATAGACATCACAACTGACATCGCGGCATCTCTGAAGTAGGACTTGAAGGTGAAAAGTGCTTCACGTGTACCCATGGAATTGCGGAATCCGAATTGCATTTCACCGACATTTTCTTCGCATTTCTTGTAAATTCTGGCATGTATGATTTTAAGAAAAAATTTAAGTGCATGACTCATAAGACTGATAGTTCGGAAATCTTCGCACGTTTTCGCAGATCGTTTTTTTGGTAGCGTTACAAATGTTGACAATAGCCATTCCTCTGGGATATTACCTGAATCGTATATGGCGTTGAACAGTTCAGTTAACTCCTTCGTGCTCACTTCACTCATCACCTTAATAAGTTCAACGGGTATTTCGTCCGGACCTGTAGCCTTACCATTCTTAGACTGTTTTAAAGCAGCCTTTACCTCGCTTTCTAGAATTGACGGCCC